AAAGGAAAGAAAGAGCAGGACCGCCATGGATCTTTGCCTGTGGCGCGAACCGGCGGAGGAGGCTGACAATGAAGGATAAGTTGGGGCATCAAACCAAGGAGACCGACGAAGTTTACAAAAGCATTTCTCGATCGTGCAAAGACAGTACCGCCGTTGGGCTAGGAGCGCGCTAGTTCATCCCAAGCCCGAGGTAATGACCCGCAGCCTTCTATTTAGCCAGCCTTACAGACGAAGTAACTAAAACTCAATGCAGGTTGAACTCTGTTGAATCTAAGCCTCACTACCTTCTTAGAGCGTTACCAAGGACCTTGAGATTTTAGTCAAAGACATTCAAAGAAAGCCATTTATCGAGAGTTGTGACAGGTGATGAGCATCAATGAGATGACTTGAACTGACCTTCTGTTGAAACTAAAACTCCTCTCCTTGTTGCAATTCATCGATTGGAAGGAAGGATTCGACAGAGAGGAGGATCACGACAATACCTGGCTTGACTATAGAGACAAGGGCAAAGCCGCACGAAGTGAGTAGATCTTCCCGTCGACGGATTGGTTGTTCTGGGTTGGAGAAAGAAGCGAGGGACGAATTGTCTTCGGATGATGAGAAGGAGGAGGATTTGTCGATGTTGGGTGACCGGTTTGTCTCCCTAACGTCAAAGGTTGAGAAAAGGAGTTGCCGACGAGGGAGGAAAATAAGAGGGTGTGTCGGAGCCAACGAGTGAGGATTATTTCCCATCGCCAGGTGTGTGGGTTGGGGATGAGATGTTGGAACCGACTCCTCATGGCCGGGTGCATCGCTCATCGTCAGAGAATAAGGCAACGGTGGAGCTGCTGACATTTGAGAAGAAGTGGGGAGGCGGCGTAGAGTCGTTCTTCCCCTGGCAAGACTTAGGTTGGTCTCGTCGATCTAGACCGCAGAGCAGCAACTGGACTCCACGCCGATAGGCTGGATCACTCGGGCCACTAGATTAGGGAGGAAACTCTCGGGTTGAAGAAGTTTGGAGTCGATTTGAGCTAAACTGACCAGCAGATCGGGCCACCAATTGACCAGAGGATCGGGCTGAAAATAGACCATCTGGGCGGGTTGAAATTAAGAGAGGAGTGAGCCAAGTTGCGGCATGATTACAGGCCAGAGGAAAATCATCAAGATGGTCCAATGTCTTGGGAAAGGTGGACTAAGCAGAAGGTAGAGTCTGGTCTATGTGTGGAAGGAACCAGGCTCTAATACCAGTCTATGGGCCGAAACTCGAGAAAATTGGGCCACACGTAAGAATTGAGGACAACATGGGCTGTGTTTTAAAGAAGGTGGACTCGAGTTAAGGGCAGATGGGTTTAAGAGCTTAGCTGGTGGGAGTCAAATAGAAATTCGAGAAACAACAAAGCAAGTTTATGGACTAACTCCAAGAAAGATGTTAGAGGGCCTTCATGAGCTAGCACTTACGGATGGATTCTTGTACAAGAAAGTGCATTTGAATCCCTGATTTTATTTGGATATGAAAAAAAAAAAGAAGTTATTGAAGTTCGAATAATCCAGGAGAGTGAACATTGGATCCTTTGACGTGGCATTAGCAGCATTGAAGAAGTTCATGAAGATCGCAGCGAGCAAGTTGGTTCAAGTACTAGAACCGGATTGAAAGAAGAGAAAACGAAATGAGGAGCCAACATGGGGATATTGCTAGAGGTACGGAGAAATGGGTCAAATTGGTCAACCTTGAAGGCAGGGTAGGTCTTAAAGGGGGTGGATTGTAAGGAACATAAATATTAGGGTTGGTAGGGGATTAGGCGGCAGGTTGTGACCGAGTAGAGGTAGGATTCTTGTTAGGGTCTAAGGTGTCTTTCACTATAAATATGTACCTTGGGTTTCATTCAGAATTAATCAAGAACAATATTAGAAAAACTATATCCCAAATCCTGATCTATCCCTCTCTCAAATCTTGACTATCTCTCTCCCTAAAGACTTCGGCCATTCTTCCCTATTCTACCCAATTCTGCTCTTCAATCCCTAATCCCGAATCCCCCATGCCCCATCTCAAATCCCTAATTTCTTTCTCAATCCCTAAATTCTTTCTATCTACCCGGTTATGTTAATTGTAAGGGACCCTAATAAATATGTTTCTTACACTAGGGCATGCACTGAGAAAGTGAATGATTTTCGAGAGAGATTGGGAAGTTAGGGAAGGCTGCGGGAACAGGTTCAAGTGGGATTAGGAAGTTGGGGAAGGCGGCAAAATAGGTTGCGAGATATATTGTCGAAAGAGATCTGGAAGCTGGGAAGTCGGTGAGAATGGGCTGCGAGAGGGAGTAAGACAAAGGAGAGTGTATGTATTGCAAGAGGGATGGGAAGCTGATAAGGAGGCGGTTGGAGTAGGTTCCAAGAGGGATCGATGAGTGGGATCATCATTAGAGACGAACAAATGATGAAACAGAGGTTCAAATCTGTGACGAATATGACTTACTTTCACATTTCAGTTGTTCGCGATTTTGAACCCAGATCGCCTGGTTTTGGTCAACTTAAAACGCGAATCACGAACCGCCCAAAAGAGGAGTCGTATGATAAAGCACAAGCTTTGTGGTGCGGTTCACAACGGCTCAACCACACTGAACATCCACCCCTAAGAAGAAGAAGAGGTATTCAATTTCAAATCAGTTAGAGAAACAAAATCATAATGACTGTTAAGTACCAGATTTTTGTTTTGTTTTCTATAAATGGAAAGTGATAAGAAAATGTCGCTAGTTCACTCTCATAAATTTATTGAGAAATATACACGAGTTTGAACATATGCATCAAATAAGTATTATAAAAAAAATAAGTATTATAAAAAAGTAAGAAGAAGAGAGTGCACGATATTAAAAAATTAATTGAAAAATGTAGACGATTCTTCATATAACCATATCCCCTCCTCCGCCTTGGTATGGGTATAGTTTGGAATTGGAGGGTAGTCTTTTTTGGTTTGGAGAATTTGTTGCTTTTGGACTCCTACTGTCATCCACATAACCATTCATTGCATTCTTTCCTGGACACCATATTCCCTTCTCTCCTTTTTCCTTTTCTCTTTTACTCGTAGTGGCTTTTGCATTTTTGTTATACGTCCTCTTAAACAAACCAAATTCAATATAGAAAATTTGATCTGCTTTTTTTTTCATTTTAACAAGTCCCAATTAGAGAATACAGAAAGCGGGTAGAAACGATGGCGACATGTATATGGTGATTATGTACAATGATTAGGTCTTTGGCTGGCTGGCTGCCTGCCCGGCGGTTGGAGGCGAAGTCAAAGAAGCAGGCAGGCAAGCAAATCGAAAGGAAATGGTCCTGTAAACATGTTTTGGTCTACACCAAACTCGCCTCTCATTTGCAGCCACAATTGATTCAGTCAGTCCACCGCAGAATAACTAATTGTTGTATGTATAGCCTATGGGCGTACAGAACTATAATATGCTTATGGTAACCAATACCCTCCATGCCGCTACAAGTCTTCCTCGCAAGCGGTGATGAAAATCAACGGTTCTGATTCGTTGAAATTATCAAAGTATAAATAATAGGTGTGAAAGCAAGTGTATAGCGTATGCTAGTCTTTGCCACATGTGTATGTGTGTGGTGTGTGTATGAATTCTAAGGTAGCACATATCCTTAGTAAGTGAAATTATCTAGACCTTGAATTAACCAAAATTTGTTGCATGGTGCTATAACCTAAACCATAATGAGTAAAACATAGGTCCCTTCAAATCAATTTAATTAGAATTAACAATCAGTATTCTAATTCTTCAAAATACACCCAACATACTGGATGCACCATCCTATGGTTTAGCGTTTAGACAAATAGGATCTAGGCCTTACTCATTAAGGGTAAGAATATATATAGTATCGTGATCCAAGATAAATTCAAGGTCTAAATAATATTTTTTTTTACTAAAAAGGGTATTGTGTACCCCTAGATTTACCCTGGGTACGATAGAAGTTATCATACATATGTAGGGTCACAAATGATCCGAGTTTCTCACGAGAGGTTCGACGTTCAACTCGAGATAATCTCGTTTGAAATCCAACGAACCGAGTTTTAGCTAAACTTTGTTCAACTCGTGAGATAAGTTGCACCCACGAATCGAGTTTTAGGGTGGGCTATCCAATTTCCATTGCACATATCATTGGATTTAGATTATCCGGTTAACCTCCGGTTACTGAGGGGGGTATAAAACGATATACTGACTGCTACCTTTTCGCTATCGCCAACCGTACGTTCAGTTAACAACTTATCCGTTAACAATTATCGGTTAAACCATTAATCGGTTAACCAATTATGTATGCGTAACTTATTGATTTTTATTTCAGAGTGTACTAAAACTACGATCGGTTAACCGATTGTGTATACATAACTTATCGGTTTTTATTTCATAATTTGCTACAACTGCGATTTTGTATATGAAACAAACAAAGGAACATTGATTAGTGATGGCCAATATGCGTCACCAAGATTATGAATCGAGTTGTGGATATCCAGGATCCGGACGTTTGTCCTGGGCTGGTGAGATAAGTTCGACGGCAATGACGAAAGGTATAGGTGGCAGACTAGCAGATGAGGAGGAGGAGAAGAATAAGGAGATTGAGAGCAGTGGGTTCTTCTTCTTGGATTAGGGTTGATCAATAGAATTATGTACGTATTAGATGACAATTAATTTAAGAAATGATGAAAGGAGTTGTTAATCTCAACAAGTTAGTTGCACCCACTACTCTCCCACTGCAATTGCAATGGATGACGGACAGAGGTGAAAAGCAAAAAAAATAATGAAACAAAACAAAACAAACAAACAGACAGACACGAGCGGGCCTCCCACTACTAATGTATATATTGGTTGCTGCTAATGTTAATGTATAATAATAAGTGTATAATTTATTTATTGGAGGTTGGTTTTGTCAGCGCGCCCCTTGTTTTATCTTCTTTCTTTTCTTTTCATTTCATCCACCACCAACCGCATCATTTCAGAACCTTCATCATGTATGTTATGTTTATCCTTGAATTCACAACTCCTGCCCGCCTGCCTAATCACCCCCTCCTAACATAGCGCCCACCATATATCTCCTTTCATTATTCACGTTTCCTTCTTCTCTTCTATTCTTCTCCGTTACTCAAATTGACCAACAACAAAAAAAAAAAAAAAAAAGAAGAAGAAAAAACGCTCAAAACTCCTCTCCTTCATCTCTCGCAATTTCAGTTTCTCAATCAAAGCAAAGGAATTCGTTCTTCTCATGGTCCAATCCATGACGGTTTCCCCCAAAGCCATCTTCCCGCCGCGGAAGCGCCGCCCCTCGGCCGGAGCCTTCATACCGCCAAACTTCGCCGACCAGAAGCTGGTCCAGTCCCTCCTCCTCCTCTCCCAAGAAATCTCCTCCATCCAGCCATTCCAATTCCTTCTGCGCCGCACCTCCCTCTCCATAATTCGGAAGACCAAGCTGCTCTCCATCCTCTTCGACGAGCTCCTCCGGAATCCAATCCTCATCTTCTCCCCGACCCTGCTCTGCTTCGAAGAAATGTACATCTTACTCCAGAGGATCAGAACCTTGATCGAGGACTGCTCCAACGGGAGCAAGATGTGGCTGCTTATGCAGATCGACTCCGTCGCCAACGGATTCCACGAATTGACCGTCGAGCTCTCCACTCTCCTCGACATCTTCCCGCTCAACGAGGTCGACCTCTCCGAGGACGTCCAGGAGCTCGTCGTGTTGATCCGGCGGCAGTGCTCGCTCGTGAAGCCCGACCTCGATCCCGGCGACAGCAGCCTCCGCCGCGAGGTTCTCACCATGCTCGATCGGATTAAGAGAGAGATCGTCCCCGATCAGCCCAAGCTCGCCGAGATTTTCCACCGGGTCGGGCTGCAGACCGCCGCCAGGTGTACGGAGGAGATCGACTCTTTGGAAGAGGAGGTTCAGAATCAGGGCGACGAGAAGTCGAAATCGGAGGTGATCGCACTGATTGGACTCGTCCGTTACGCGAAATGCGTCCTGTACGGCGCGTCGGGCCCGGATTCCGAGAGCCAGCGGAGTACCAGCAGCAAGGATATGACGGCGGAGGCCGCCACCAATATTCCGCCGGATTTTCGGTGTCCAATTAGCCTGGACCTGATGCGGGACCCGGTTGTCGTGGCCACGGGACAGACGTACGATCGCGAGTCAATCGCGTTGTGGATTGAATCGGGGCACAACACGTGTCCGAAGACAGGTCAGAACCTGGCCCACACAAGCCTCATCCCCAACCGCGCTTTGAAGAATCTGATAAGCATGTGGTGCCGTGAGCAGAAGATACCGTTCGAACTGACGGAGACCAGTCACAAAAGTAACGGCGTCAGCATCCCGAACAAAGCCGCGGTCGAGGCAACGCGGATGACGGTGTCGTTTTTGGTCAACCAGCTCTCCGGCTCGCAGTCAACGGAAGCGGCTAACGGCGTGGTCTACGAGCTTCGTGCGCTGGCGAAGACCAACTCCGACAGCCGAGGGTTCATCGCCGAAGCAGGGGCCATTCCCCTGCTGGTGCGCTACCTAGGTTCGGACGTAGGCTCGGAGCTCCCGAACCTCCAGGTAAACGCCGTCACCACCATCCTCAACCTTTCCATCCTGGAGGCGAACAAGACAAATGTCATGGAAACCGATGGAGCTCTGAACGGGATAATCGAGGTCCTCCGCTCCGGCGCCACGTGGGAGGCGAAAGGAAATGCGGCGGCCACCATATTTAGCTTGTCCGGCGTGCACTCCTACAGAAAACGCCTCGGGCGAAAAAATCGGGTGATCAAAGGTCTCGTGGATTTAGCTCAACTCGGTCCCAATTCTTCAAAGAGAGACGCGTTGGTGGCAATTTTGACCTTGGCCAGCGACAGAGACACGGTGGGGAGGCTGATTGAAGCCGGGGTGGTGGAAATTGTGGCCGGAGTATTGGACTCGCTGCCGGAGGAAGCGGTTACGATACTAGAAGTGGTGGTAAAGAAAGGCGGGCTAGCGGCGATCGCCGCCGTGTACAGTAAGATAAAGAAATTGGCCGTTTTGTTGCGGGAAGGGTCGGAGACGTCCCGGGAGAGCGCGGCGGCGACGCTTGTGACTATCTGTCGGAAAGGTGGATCGGAGATGGTGGCGGAGCTGGCGGCGATGCCCGGAATCGAGAGGATAATTTGGGAGCTGATGGGATCGGGGACGGTCCGGGCGAGAAGAAAGGCGGCGACCTTGTTGAGGATTCTCAGAAGATGGGCTGCAGGTTTGGATCCAAGCCCGGTTACGGAAAGGCCCAATACCACTGTGAGCGGCACGTCAGCAACGACAGTAATGTAAAGACGGGAAGAAAGAAAAAAGAAAAAAGGATTTGGTGTTCTCATTTTGTTTTCTTCTTCTTCTTCGATCATCCAAATTGTATAAACATTAATTTTTTTTGGTTCTATCCCTCTTTTTTTGCTTGTTGTTTCATCGATCTCTTGAAAATTGAGTTTAATTCAGATATGACTTTGAATCCTCAATTGTTTATTCGTCCTTCTTGATAAGACGTTTTTTGGTTGTGGACAAGGAATTTATACACGCAGACGCACAATCCTAATAAAACAAGAGGATCGGATAAAGCAAGGAGTAAAACCGGGAACGGAACATCAATGAATATGACAAACTGAGACGACCCATTTTCCGGCAGATCGCGCTGAGAGGTAAAAACAAAAGATTTCAGGAGACGACCTTTGCCCGGTGCAGTTTAGTAGTTAGCTTTCACCGTCGTTCCACGTCAACACCGACAAACGAAAGCGTGTTCCAAAACCAAAACTAGTGGCTTTGTGGATGGGTCAACAAAATCCCGGAAGACCCACGCTGGCTGCCGGCTGGATCACTCCACCGCTGAATAAAATTGAAAGTCAAAAAGCCGCCAAAGCGCGCGGAAGAGACACGTAAATTTATGTGTCCACTCTGAAGCTTCCTTCCTTCCTTCATTGGGCTACAAGACAATACCGCGGCCTCTTTGACTTTCTCAAGAAGCCTTGGGGTAGGCAAGCTTCATGCCATCATCCATCTAAACAAACACACATATATATACTCTGCTATGCTTTTCGTTTTTAGAAAAATCCACAAAGCTCTTTTCCCCCCTTCTTTTCTACACTCTGTAACTAGTTACCGACTTCAGCCTTATATTTTCCACTTTGTGTTGCGCCGGAAATGGGATCTCGCAGAATCAAGAGCGGATTAACGGCGGTGGTAGTGTTAATCCTCGTAGTTCTTGCGTCACAAGATTCAGCATCAGCTAGGATACTCTGTGGTTCTGTTTCAAGTAGCAGTGTGGCGGCGCAAGGGATCAACGGCGATGCGACCATGTCGTCATCTCCCGGCACCGGGGAAGGAGAGCACGTCGTATTGGGGACGGGGAGGAAGGAGAAGTACTACTACTACTACGAGTCGTCGCTGTTGCTTAATGTTCTGCCTAAGGGTAGTCGGGGGCCATCGGGACCCAGCAGACGGACCAACGACCTCCTTCATTAATTAATTCACTGTACTGAAAACTGAATTTGTAGAATGCAAGCAACTGTTGCACACAAAGCCACGAAATGGTTGATTAGGTAATTCTTTTGTTCTTTTACTATGTACACTGTAGCAAGCATTCGTTTGTACCAATTCCTGGATTAGTTTGCAAGCTAATCCTGCAGAGAGCAATTTTAATAGTTCAAACAAAAGTAAGTATAACTAATTCCTGATTTGTTTATCGCATTGGGAAGTTGTGCTTGTCCGTTGGTTTGATTGATCAGTTTTGCCTATCATATTCAACCACCAATATTCGATTGCCCCATTACACACCGGAAACAAATAGTCAAATAGTCCAATTACCCGGTGATAAATAGTGCTAAACAGTAAAGGAGAGACAAGATTTAACGTGGTTCTTCCTCACAGTGTATGAGGCTTACATCCACAGAATGATACTGATAGACCGTTAGTTACACATGTTTTCACCCCTGTTCTTACATCGTTTGAGAGGTGGTTTCTCGTGTTTTAGACCGATTTCACGCTAGGTTGTGCTTGTTTGTGATATTTCAGGTCTTGGCAAGTGAATGAAGGTTTAGGAGCGAGTTCGGGGTCGATTGGGCGAAGTTCGGGCGCGAGGCAAGTCGCAAAGGAGGTCACACGTGTGAAGGAATGGCTTGGCCGTGCGAGTTTCGCCGAGAGCAGACACGGGCAGAGCAGAGGATCGACACGGCCGTGCAAGTGGCCGGGTTGGCCATGCCACATTCTGCGAGAGCAAACACGGGTAAGAGGGGATGTCCACACGGCCGTGCCATTCTGGCCGTGCAAAGAGCCTGGAATTCGAACTAAATGAAACGATGCGTTTTGACTCACACGGGCAACTGGGTGAGCTGCACGGCCGTGCCACCCTGGCCGTGTGAGTCGGGATTTTCTCCTTTTAAGCAGAATTTCAGCCACAATTCGAGAGGATTCGAGTTTTTGAGAGAGAGAACGATTTCTAGAGAGAGAAAGCAACGAACAAGAGTCTCCAAGTGCCCTAGATTGATCTCCAACACCATTGGAGGCCAGCTTGAGCTTGGAGAAGTGCCAATCAACGTCCAGAAGCAGGAATCCATCCTTCGCAGTATGAATTCCGTGTCTGATTCTGCTTTTGCTTTCTTCTCTATGGAGTAGTTCTCCCATTCATCTGGGTATGGAGAACCCTAGATTTGTGTGTTAGGCTTTGATTGTATGAACCCAAGTACTGATTCTGTGATTGATTATATTCGATTGAGGTTTTAATGATTGAATGACTTGAATCCTGATCAAATTCCTGTTGTTTCTGCTTTAACCTAGAATGAGAATATCTGCCTAGGTTAATAGAGTAGCCTTGATTGAAGGTTGGGAGTTGGTGACTTTAGTCGAGGAACCAACTCACTATTCTGTACCGGATTTACTCCGGTAGTGGAGGTTTTCTTCTTAGGGCCTCAATCTGTCTACTCCGGTGGAGGTTAGTCGCCCGCTAGAGATTCAGATTGAGAGGGTCTGAAGACCTTTAGTCAAGACTTCAGGCTGTTTAAGAACCTTCCGCAGTATAATCTTCATAGAAACTGAACTTGGTAATTACAATCCGGCTTAACTGCAGTCTAGGGGGAACCATATCCGGGTGACCTCTCTTAACTTGAATACAACCGTTTACATGCTTTGCTAGTTTGTTAGTTAGACTTGCATTCCAGTTTCATTGCTAGATAACAAGAATTCACTGAGTAGTCATCAGATCTAGGACCCGGGTTGATAATTAAACCTAAACCCGCTATACTACGCTTTAGGAAGTGGTTACACTTGGCCAATTCCTGGAGTGACAGTAGAGTCGAGTCAAGTTTTTGGCGCCGTTGCCGGGGACGGCTAGGTTGTTGAAGAAAAGTGATTTCTGTTAATTTAGCTTTTCTTTTTGCTTTGTTTTCTTTGTCCCACTTGTGCCTTCACGGGTTTGTTGCTTGAGTGTGTGCAGGTAGTGCATGACCCGTAGCCAGTCGGGAGGTTTACGGACGTTGAATCCAGAGATTGACCGCACCTGTCGCCAGCTCAGGAGACAACAGCGAGCTAGACTAGCTACGGAAGAGCGCATAGACGGCCACCTGAGCAGCGATTCTGAAGAAGAGCACGGGATGGACGGAGACTACAACCAACACCAGGGGAATCCACAGCAGGTTCCCCCGGTGAATCAGGTCTTGGGGAACAACCCCATACCCCAGGACCATGGAGTTCATCATCCACCGCAGCCGGGTCCCACCTTGGAGTACTACTACACTCCGCGGATTGCTGACATCCGCCCGGTCATCCTCTACCCGCCTATCCCAGCAAACAACTTCGAGATCAAGCCATGCTGGATTCAGCTCATTACATCTTCCATCCAGTTCCATTGCTTGAAGGATGAGGAGGCCAGGGTACATCTCTCCCGTTTTCTGCAGCTGACGAACGGGTTCAAGCTGAATGGTGTCCCGGATGATGCAATCCGCCTTCACCTCTTCCCCCATTCTCTGGCGGGGAATGCTAAGAGGTGGTTGGAGACCCAGCCCCCATTGTCCATCACCTCTTGGGACGATCTAGCGGACAAGTTCGTGCACAGGTACTATCCGGCATCGAAGACTACAGAGATTCAGCGGGAGATCACTCACTTCCGCCAGGAGCCAGATGAGTCACTCCGTGATGCTTGGGAGCGGTACATGGGCTACTTCTGGCAGTGCCCCCACCATGGCTTTAGTGATGCTTTCACTGTGGGGAACTTCTACAGCGTTCTCTCCCCAGATAGCCAGAGGGTGATTGAGTCTTTATGCCCAGGATGGGATGTTCTCACCAAGACTCCACCCGAGCTGAATCAGATGATTAATACATTGGCTGCCAGAGATCACTCTTGGGGGCAGAGCAGCAGAGGCAGACATTCCAGGGACCGTGGTGTGCACGCCATGGAGACCAGATCCGGGCTCGAGCAGCAGGTAGCTGAGCTAGTGCAGACATTGAAGCAGCCCAACAGTCTTATTCCGGGCAGAGGCATGGCTACACCTCCAGTTGCTCAGTGTCAGTGGTGTGAGAGCTCGAGCCACTTAGTAGAAGACTGCCAGGCTATGAGGGAGTCTACTACCCCCCAAGAGCAGTTGGACTTCATCGCCAATGCTCGGCGCCTCTACCCATACAGCAACACCTGTAACTAGGGGTGGCGCCAGCATCCCAACTTCGCCTGGAGCAGCAACACCACTAAACCACCTGGTTTTCCAGCACCAGCAGGTGGTTTTCAGCAGAGGCAGCCCTTCCAGGCTCGCCAGGGGCCAGACCCACAGCAGCAGCCCTACCAGCCTAGGCAGGGGCAGCCATTCCAGCAGCCCCAGCGCCTGTTTGCCGAGCCAGCAGCAGCTCCAGCCCCAGATGACAGGATGACGAAGCTGGAAAACATTCTAGCTTCATTCATGACGAGCACTCAGGCGACTATCACGAGGTTGGACCAGAGTGTAGCCTCACTGGAGGCAGGTCAGAGGAACCAGGGTGCCATTTTGCAGGATCTGCAGACCCAGGTGGGCATCTTGGCCCGCCAAAACACTACCAGGGCACCGGGGACTCTGCCTGCCACCACTGTTCCGAATCCTCGAGATCCTCACCAGCATCAGCAGCTGGATGCCATTTTTACCAGGAGCGGTAAGACCATATCTGCTGATCCTGTCCCGGCCAGACAGGAGGAACCACTGCCTGCTTCAGCACTTCCAGCCGACGATGCAGAAGTGCGGGTGGAGAAAGAAGCCCCCTGCTCCCAAGCCACAACCAGTGGTTAAGGAGCATGTACCCCAGCTTCCCTTCCCCACTCGCCTACACAAGGACAAGCTGGAGACTGAGTTTGCCACGTTCATGGCAATGTTGAATCAGCTCAATATCAGCATACCGTTCATGGAGGCACTGTCGAAGATGCCCAAGTATGCCAAGTTCATGAAAGATATCTGCACCAACAAGAAGAAACTTGGGGATCTCTCGACAGTGATGCTGAGCGAGGAGTGTTCTGCTATCCTGCAGAACAAGCTGCCCGAGAAGCGCAAGGATCCAGGGAGTTTTACTATCCCTCTTACTATTGGCAGCATGCATGTAGGAAAGTCCTTGGCGGACCTAGGCGCTAGCATCAACGTCATGCCATATAAGTTGTATAAAATGCTAGACCTAGGTGAACTTAGCCCTACTAGGATGAGCATTCAATTAGCTGATCGTTCTATTGTGCATCCTAGGGGAATCATAGAGGATCTGCTTGTTGGTGTTGGTGCATTCACATATCCTGTTGATTTTGTTATTCTTGATATACATGAGGATGTGGATGTGCCCTTGATTCTAGGTAGGCCATTTCTTGCCACCGCCAAGGCACTTATTGATGTGCATGATGGAAAACTGATCTTGCGTGCTGGGAATGAACAGGCTACTTTTTCTGTGACTGAGTTTGATCACTGTGCTATGATTGCTGTCACGCCTGTGAATACCATTTCTGATCAGGTACACGAGTCTGTCGTGTACCCTTCTACACCTCCAATTTTGCAGGACCCTCCTATCATTCCTTCGTCGCCACTCCATCCAGCCACGCCTCCGAACAAAAAGCTCAAGGAGGAGTGGCGGCCGAAGCAGCAGGTTGCTAAGCCTGCACGGAAGAAGAGTGGAGACCACTATGAGCTGGTCCCACCTCCTGCACCACGACCACCCTGGCCGTCCGGGTACTCACTCGCCTGCATCTTGCCAGATGGGCAGGTCGAGCTGACTGATGAGGGTGGTCGCATCCGTCGGGTGCATGGCCACAACCTCAAGCTGTACCTCAAGAGCGACGTGGATCCGCTCTTGGAGGCACCTGTTCCTACACCGCCCTGAGTATCCACCATGGGCGTCCAGCTAAAAGACGATAAAGAAGCGCTTGTGGGGAGGCAACCCCACCACAGTTTGATTTTCTTTCTTGTGTTTTGAGTCGGATTGTAACCCGGTTTGGGTTTGGTTTGTTTCTCTTTTGGTTTGGATGATATTTTATTGGGCTGACCATTGAACCTAAGATTCTGTGTTTGAGCTCTTCTGTTCCCCTTTGGCTGTGCTTGCCCCGACTGGCCCGTTTCCAGTCCCCTGCAGTCCGTGCATACCGGTAACATCTTTCCCTTATCCTCCCCTCTTCTCCATTGAGGCAATGTCGATCTTAAGTGTGGGGGGATGTTTATCTTTTGACTGCATTAGATCTGTTTGTGTGCTTGGAGCCTAGTCCACTGTCCAAATTTTTAAATTTGAGGGCTCCAAGTACGTATTTCCTTGCAATTGCCTACTCAGTATGCTTTGAATTGACAGTCTTTATAGTAATATGCAACCTAGGGAGGTAGTGTAGCACTATGGAGGATGTTGATGCATTTAAGAAGTCTCATTTCTTCTTCATATTGTGTTGGTTGATTGAGTGAATTAGGTATCTTAGGACCCTTGAATTGTGTGATGTTGTGGATTCTCTGCCTGTCATGGACTCTTGTATCATGTTTTGAGTTTAACAGGTGCTCGAAAATGTGCTTCAAAATAACGTCTCCCGTGCGAATAGGGCGAAAGTGTGTAAGGGGAGACGGGAATCCGTTCCCAATTTCCACCTACTACCTCCAGCCCCCTTACATGTCTTTCCCCCGCACGAGGCTCGAGACATCCTCTCCTGGCATGGCCGGTAAAAGCAGGTTGGGACCCTTGAAAAGAAAAGAAAAGAAAAATAACAGAAAACAAGCAAAACAGAAAAAAAGGGGGTTCCAACCATCTTCAAGAAGAAAATAGAGCACCTTGAAAAATGTGAGTCCATGATCCTTTGTTTTTGAGAATCTCTTCATCCACAATTCATTTGTCCTCTGTTCACTG